GAAGTGTCAAGATTGAAAATAAACAAAGAAAAACTAAAATATTAGCTAAAAATCTTACAGATAAACAGAAAAAAGACAATGAAGAATACAGACATCCAGATAGTTAAGAAAGTTAAATATTTAGTAATTCAATTAACAGCAAAATGTGTTACTTGTAAGGTTTCCTAAAATTGCAGTAAGCTCTTGTAACAAATCAAATCAGACTTGGAGAAGTGGAAAAATTTACAACTCTCCTTGATAGGAAGAATAGCTACTATAAAAATGAATATTTTGCTGAGATTACTGTATCTGTTCCAAAGAGTATCAATAAAGCTGGAAAAAATATTTTGAGGAATTAAATAAAATGATTTCAAAATACATTTGAGAAGGAAAAAAAGCAAGAATAAGTCTGAAAATGTTATGAGATTCCAAAAGGTGGGGGGGGGGATTTTGGATTGCCAGATTGGGAGTTGTATTATCAGGCCTCTGTACTTCATGGATGAAAGAATGGATAAATCTGAGACACAGACTATTATTAACATTAGAAGAACATGTTCTTCAATTAGGGTGGTATGCTTTTTTATGGCATGGGAAGAATAAAATACATAGATATTTTCAAAGACATTGTGTTAGACGTGCACTATTGTTAGTGTGGGCAAAAATGAAAGAAAAACATTATTTGAAATTACCAATCTGGCTCTCTAGATTCAAATATTCTTAACACAGAAAATATTACAAAGTATAAAGACATCTTGAATGAAAAGGGAAACTTAAAACTAAGCAAGAATTGAATAGTCAAAAGAATTGGCTTAGCATGGTGGTCGCATGTGCAAATACAATCAAGATATGAGAAAGATATTAAAATGTCTGGCTTCTATAAAAAGCCAACAGAACTAGACTAAGTATTAGCAGGGACAGCTGAAAAATTAATTTAAAAAATCTATAGTTTTCTTAGGTAAAGGTAAAGGTTCTCCTCACAGATATATGCTAGTTGTTCCCAACTCTAGAGGACAGTGCTCATCTCCGTTTCAAAGCCGAAGAGCCAGCGCTGTCCGAAGACGTCTCCGTGGCCATGTGGCCAGCATGACTAAAGGCCAAAGGTGCATGAAACATGGTTACCTTCCCACGAAAAGTGGTCCCTATTTTTCTACTTGCATTTTTACATGCTTTCAAACTGCTAGGTTGGCAGAAGCTGGGACAAGTAATGGGAGCTCACTCTGTTACGCAGCACTAGGGATTCGAATGACCAAACTGCCGACCTTTCTCATCGACAAGCTCAGCATCTTAGCCATTGAGCATAGTTACCTACTGAGCATTAAAATGGAAGAAGAGCAAATAAAAGAAACAATGATAGTATGGGCTAAGAATTTTGGTTATATTATAGAGTTAGATAAATGGCAGAAACTGTGGTACAGGAATTATAAACTAACAATGTCAACTGCATACAAAGAATATGTATATAAAATGTTTTATAGATGGCATTTTCTGCCAGCAAGATTAGCAAAGATGTTTAAGGATATGTCCGCTAAGTGTTGGAAATGTAATCAAATACCAGGTTCCTATTTGCCCAAAGCCAAAAAAATATTGGCGAAAAATACACATATGGTTAGAAAAAATAGTTAAGCAACATATATGTAGATTTAAAACCAGAAATACTTCTGTTGGGTATTTTACCAAAAAAATATAGTAAAGGGAATACATATTTAATTTTACATGTATTAATAGTAGCCAGAATTGTGTTTGCACAATTGAAGAGATCCGTACAGATGAAATTGTAATAAAAATATTAGAATGTGCAGAAATAGATATATTAACACTTAAAATGAAAAAAGAAGAAACTGAATATTTTTTAGCATGGGATTTGTTTTGTCAATGGCTAAATAGCAGAAACAGAAGTTAGAAATTTAAAAGCATAAGAGAAGGATTAATTACAATGAAGATGTACTAAAATGGATGTAAATATTATTATGTTATTATAATTGATGTTAGGAATATCATTACTATTACCATTACTATATCTCAAAGACAATTGTACTCAGATAGCACACTGTTCATATAGATATTAAATGTTTATGTTTTACATTATTAAAAAAGCATAAACATATATATGAATAAATTATTGGATTTGGAAAGTCATGAATTGAAGTTTGGACAGCATACCTATCTATGATCATATCTATGATATGATAAAGTTAAAATGGATGCAGATTTCAAGGATCACTTTATTAGGCATTCCATTTATACGTTTTGGAATAAATACAAAGAAAAGGTTTTTCCGAAATATATCTGGATGTTACCCAAACATCTTTTTTTAAAGGAAGGAAACGATAGTGAGTTACAATTGGTGAATTTATACTGAATAATATCATTTGTTCAAAGTTAACCACTTCTGAAATCAAAAGAAGACTTAGAACTAGAGGATTGTAGCTATCATTGGTTTACCTATCTACAATTAAAATAAATGTTTACTATGGATAAAAAAATGTGGTAAAATATATACAAATATATTTTAGTTCTCTCTCTAAATTAACATCAAACACAGCAGTACATACATCACATACTCAAACATAGACACACATACTACCTTCACATTTACCTTGCTAATACATCTATATAAAGTCCAAGTTCAAATAGCAAATATAAAAAAATACAGCGGTGTGTAACAGTGACCAATTCTCTTTTATGTCTAATTGTCATCTGTTGACCACAGCATCACTTCCATCTATGCTATGAGTTTTCTCTGTAGGCATGCCACTCCAAATGATGTAGAAACTAGTGGGAAAACATATAAAATCAGCCATGGGGGACTTAATCCAGTGTGGAGAACTTTTAAGGGATGCTAAAAACGTCACTGACTTTCCTGAGGTGCAGGTTCTTAGCTGTTCCCCAGATCATTGTCAGGAATCATTTAAAATGATCAGGAATAATACCGACAATAAACTGTGAAGAATCTCAGTCCCCTGCCTTGTTTTCCCTCTTTGATTAATTTGTGCTATCAGAGTTTGAATCAAAATATGTTTATTATAGAGAAGTATTACATATATTACATATTAATATTACATAAAGGAATATGGTGGCTCAGTGGCTAAGACACTGAGTTTGTTGATCAGAAGGTCAGTAGTTCTGCGGTTCATATTCCTAACGCTGCGTAACTGAGTGAGCTCCTGTTACTTGTCTTAGCTTCTGCCAACCTAGCAGTTTGAAAGCATGTAAAAAATGCAAGTGGAAAAATAGGGGCCACTTTGGTGGGAAGGTAAAAGCGCTTCATGTGCCTTCAGCGTTTAATCATGCCTACCAGGAGCTGTATGTCTTTCTTAGTGAGCATTTTAAACAATTTCTTGAGAAAACATAATGTTATTATATAGAACTATGGGGGCAATCATTTTTATTCAATGTTGTCTTCAATACACTTCTACTTTTCATTTCACTGTGCTTAAAACATTGAATTACTATGTTTTAAGGGTTAAAGTGATCTGAAATATTGCCTTCCAATACATGGGCAAGGGCAAAGCACAGTTACCATGGAGACTGCGAGAATAATGTGTTTCCTGTCTTTCTTTTGCATTCTGATAGTAACATACTCCTGCATATAAAATGCAGCCATATACCATTTGGATGATTATCTGAAGGAAACACTTTTGACATTTTTGGATATACATTAAAATTGAAATCAAGTCCCATAACAGTATGAATCTGGTTAAGAGATACAGAATTAATACTAACACAAGTCAATAATTTTCAAACATTTTTTCAGCAGCACGTTTTTAAACATTCCTTTTTAAATCTAAAGTCACAGTTTTAAAACACATTTTGCTGAACATAATAGGAATGTGTAGTTTTATTCTAGAATGACGTGGAATCTTTCTAAGGTGAAGCATATAGGAATTACAGGAGTTCCATTGACAGGGTGAAAACGATAACTGAAAAAGATTTCAGAGAAACTGTGTCTGTGTCTGTGTCTGTGTGTACCACTCTAGGCTTTATACAATTCCGTATCAGCCTCACCCATCTTGTCTATGATGATTTTTTTAATTTCATTTATGATCCTGCCAAAAATATTTTTTCTATAATTGAGTAGTAAAATGTTCACATGATATTTAGAATACTAAGTTTTTAGATTATGGGTGTAATTTGAAATAAAAAACTAAAGCATCAGGGAATAAACTGGAAAGAAATGTTATAAGCCAGAAGATACTTTCAGTTTTTAAAAATAAACAACTTTAAGAAAATTATACTCTATCACATAATCACAAAATAGAGTATGTAAATGTTGAGGCATGGGAATGAGTTTATTTGTGCGAAGAATTTTTCATCTTATCTAGCAGTGGCTACCAGCAGATGATGTCACCTTTCAGCTGATTGGCTATTTCAGTACCTAATGCAGGCAAGAGACAGAAGGATGCCGGCACAAATCTCTGTGGTGAATCTGTGGTGTTTTTTCTCAGTTTATATGGAATATTTTGATAAATATTGAGATTATTCAATTGTACGGCCATGTGAGCAAGTGGGAATATCTTAGTGCAAGGGCCGTTGAAGAGCTGTCAGAGGAATGAGGCGACTGATCTGTAAACGGATCTGTGATTGTAAGTGTAAAAATCAGGGTGGAAGGATTAGCAGGGAGTGTTCATAGACACATAGGAGGATTGTAGCAGAAATGGCAAGTACGAGTAATAGAAAAGCAGTGTTTTTCTTACAGAAATGCTGAATTAAACTGAAAATGTAAACGTTTAGTTGGAATTACAGAGTGTAAATGGACAGGAAATATATATCTAATGGATTTTTCCTTAGCTGCCAAAGATGATAGATTCTGTCATTCTATAAATGATAGATTCTGTCATTCGCAAGCCTATTATATGAAATGAAATTATATTATTTCTTTTCTTGTTTTTCTTGTTTGTAGCCTTAAAGTGGCATTCTATTTGAATGGATTTTTGCTATGCTACAGCTGGAAATATTTATTTTTAAAACAAAATAATACGGAGTTATAATGCATGTTTTTCTTTTTAAAAACACCTTTCTAGATAAAAGCATTGATGATGAAGAATCAGGGGATGGAAATAGGCCATCTGCAACTGCCTCAGGTTTCAAGGTTCCTGCACCTAAAAAACCTGGAAATCCTTCAAATACAACAAAAAAGCCAGGATCTGCTGGTGGGCCCAAGGTTGTAGGTAAGGATAATTCAGTCATCAAGATACTTTATTTTGATTTAATTGGAATGATGTTGAAGACATTTAAATGATAATATATCATTCATAATTGCAGTATTTTGCAGGTTAAAAAGTGTGAAATATCTTCAAAAGCTTAGGTCTTAGATGAAATGATGGCTTTCTATAATATAAATGATGAATTTAACATTTTGAATGGATGCACTAGCTTTCTAATTCTTTGTGACTAGTAAGAAAAGCACACAGCTAATTGCTATCATGTTAGATATCATATGTTATGCAATTAATACACATCAACACACTCTCATGTACAGGAAAACTTAATAAAATAATCAATCCTAATAATATATTAGGGAAAGGAAGTGAACCATAGAACAGACTATACGAAGTCTGTCGTAGAGGTAGAGACAATGATCATAAGCAATTTTAAAAAAATACTTTCATGTTTCATTAAATTATGAGTTGCAGGTGTTTATTTTTATTCTTTTGAAATAATTAAAAATAGAAGAAATTGACAAAAATATTTTCATTTCTAGATTATTTATTTGACCCACAAAACTAAATTAATATTTTAATAACTAAACGCAACTCAGGAGTAATACTCATAGGTGATACTGAATGCATATCTAGCATACATTAATCTGCCAGATAAAAATATTTATTCTCTCATCCAATTTGCTTTTTCAATGTAGTTTTTAATAGTTGATGAAGGTCCATCATCATTTGAGTGGGGTATTGCTCAGATGTTTTCAGGGTAACTCAAGAAGCATTTTAAAATAAGGTAAAAATGAATTTATGCTGTTGGTGTTCATATAAATATATGTTTTTCTTTATCTTGCCTTCTATTTATCTAGCTACTAAACCTCAAATACCCTTTGTATAAGTCTACAATCGCTATGTGTTTAACCAACATGAGGAAATGTCCTCATATTTGGTTATATGTTAAGTAAGGCAATATAAGTGGTTTGGCATATTGTTTATTTTGTAAATATTATATTATATTTATATATATATTAAAATATATTATATTTTGCTATTCTGCTGTTTTGCTTTTCGTATATAGTTTCGCAATAAACTATATATTATGACAAAATCAAATTATTTCCCAATGAAGCTTCCTCTAAATTTATTATATTACAATTCCTATTATCATTTCTTAGTAAAGTTTGAATCACTGGAAAAAATTGTCTGCATTATTTGTGCACATAAATGCAGGAAAAATAAAATTCTTTTTCCCTTAAAAATTACTAATGAGAAATAGTAGTCTAGATAACACAAGAAGTTCTAAGGTTGTAAAAGTTGTAAAGTTGTTTCTAAAACTTTGCCCATGTCTTTTTGGGTTCAGTCTCTAAATAAACAAAATATGCTCAAAAGTATGTATATGAAAACTGTTTATTTTGCTGAGTTTATTTTCACTATTAAGCTATTTATGTGTATGTAAGAAGGAACATGCAGTTCCGATGTTATTTAGTGTTGTGTATGTCAATATGTATAATTTTTTTTAAAAAAGGAATGAAATTTTCATCTGCAAACATATGATTATTTACAATTCTAGGAAAATATGGAGAACTGAATCAACTCATTGGAAGTTAAATATAGGAACTGAATAATGTTTGTGAAAGGAAAATTATAATAACTAGATTAAATTAAATACATCTGTATTTTTGAGGCAACATCAGGAAATTGTTTTTCCTAAACATTCAGTTTAGAATTTTTCTCAATATTGTCAGAGAATAAACATTTTATATATTCTAACAGTGAAGTGACTGAGGAGTTTGAGGGTTTTGCCAAGCAGGGGATGGGGCAGAGCCGTCTCTTCCTCATACCTTCAGGCAGCATCCACATCCTCATCACTCTGGGCAGAGGCCCTGGGGTGTGGCAGTATGGATCAGCAGCTGTATGGGCCCTGAGGGAGAGGGAAACCCATCCCTATGGCCGCCTCATCTGGAGCTGGTTCTCGCCGTATTGGACTCGGGCCCTTGAAATATGGTAGCTGGCAGAGCAATAGACTGAGGCTGCTCCACTGCTGCCCAGTTACAACTTATTTCCCCCTCCCTCTCTCCCTTCTTCCCCTGCTTTTGATTCCCATCTCTTTCCTTCCTCTGCATTCAGAAAGGGACAAGAGGAGGGGGGGGGAGACTGGCAGCCATGGCTTTCCAATGCAGGGATGGCGGTCCCAGTGACAGGGAAGTCTCATTGATTGTGAGGCCAGGCTGGCAAGCAGGGCATGGAAGCCTGTCATGGCTCTGTTGGAGCCTGAATCCGTGGTGGAGGATGAGCCAGAGCTGGGGCTGATGGAGAGCGAGGGGGTGTTGTTGGCTTCAGATGAACACAGGGAGGAGCAGGACAAGACACCCCTGGGTTCCTTGGGCTTTCCAGAAGAAAGGAACGGGTGTGACGACCGAGGCGGGGTAAGAAGGGGCAAGCAGTGGAGATGAGGAATGATGGAGCTCAGCCAACGAACAAGGATCACCCCCTCCTGATCCCCAAGCACGGAGAGTGGAGAGGAGGCGGGAACAGTGCAGGCTGACCTGACGAGTCGGGAGGAGAGAGCCCCACCCCTCTTCAGAAGGGACACCTGGGGATGCAGACTTAAGGTGACGCTGTTGGGAGGGGTGCTTGTTGAGAACAAGCACTGAATTCATGGAGTTTTATCTGCCGTTGCCGATGTCTGGAGTTCGCTGGACTTATTGCTGCCTTGTTCCTTTGCTTCATGGACTCATTGCCTTGTTCCTTTGCCTCACTGGACTTCTAGCCTTAAAGTTGTGGTGCTAACTTTTGTTGGACAATTCACAGCCAGAGGCTGCTGGAGGTGTGTGAGAGCGCTCCTGGAATTGCCATAAACATGGGAGCGTTGGGGGGAAAGTTGGAGCAATAAAGGGGAGTTTGAACTATCAACTGGCTGTGTTGCCTCCATGCCTTGCCTCAGGTCATCACAGCTCTGGTGCGGGTGTGGCACTGATGTATTCTACAACCTGGTGGCAGCCATCCAGGCCAGCACATGGTCAGCCTTAGATCTGACTAATGAGACCACCCTGGAGCCAGCAATAGGCTGCTCTGCCTTAGCCCTGACTCCTGGGTGTGCGCACAGGAGGTGGCAAGCGCACTATGGCTGGCATCCTGGGTGAAATGAAAACGCTCAGAATGCAGTCAGCCTGTGGGGCAAGATGGTCCCCAGGGACGCCAGGCTCCACGTGCTCGCTACCTGCTGTGAGCACCCAGAGTTGGGGCGGGGACAGACCCTTGTTGGCTCCAGTGCGGACACACAGATCTAAGGCTGATTGCGTTCCAGCCTGGATGGCCACCACCAGGTTGTAGATCAGTATCCAGTCAGCCTGTGCCAGGCAGAAGCGCTACAGGCCAGTTCTTCGCTGTTTCCAGGGTGACCACGTGGGTCAGATCTAACCACATTGTGGGTCAGATCTAGCCCATGGGGCTTGAGTTTGGCACGTTTGAAATTGTTGTAAGTCAAAAACCATTTGTATCTGTCCTCCAAGCTCTCAGAATACTCTCCTACAAATCTATTCCAGGCGATATTCTTTCCCTCAAGACTAGATTTTCTTTACATGCTATAGAAAGTGTATCAGTTGGTTACAAAAAGACTTTCGTGCGTCTCTTCCACAGTCAACAAACATAATTCATATTAACTTAGGTATTTTAACTCAAATATTTATACATGTCACCATCATCATAAGAAGGATGTTGTATTTGTTTTAAATTAAAAAATTTAAAAAATTATTTAAAAAAGAATAGATTTTCTGACCTTATATGAAGAGCATGGAATATCCATTCTTCCAATTCATCAATGAAAATATTAATAGTTAGCATTTTCAGGCAAAACAGTGAGCATGTTACAAATTGAATCATTTTCTTTTTACCATACTTGTAGTTGCTTGTAGTTGCTAAATAGGCTACTATTATGCATAATATAAACCTATTATATCTAGTTTTATTCTCATTTATTTTTGTGGTTGCAAAATGTAAATAAAATTTGCACAATAAGAACAATAGTATTTCTGTAGTATCTTTCAAATGTGGAATATCTTAGTATATTCTTTAAACCATATTGTGATAGCTTTCTGAGGTTGGCTAGTATCTTCATTTTGCAGAAAGTATGCTGAGAAATAGAACTATGTTTAAGAAAGTTGAACTGTGGACTTTCCAACTTTTAGATATGGGCATTCAAAAATGTATTGTTACCATGTCATCTAGTGTATTAGTTGACAAATATTTTTTGCTATTTTCCCCCCAAAAATATTTTACTGCTAAGTTTATCAAAGTGTTAGAATGAATAAAAGAAATTTAAGTTAATAATTTTAAAAAAGTTACAAGCAGAAGTATTATTAATAATTTAGTCTCGGCATGCTGTAGGCTTTACAGAGAAGTTTAAGCTACAAAATTCACTTTGCTGAGAAACTTAATATTCTAATTTATTGTAGAAGAAAAAACATAAGAGAAGAATAAAGATAATAGGATACAGAAGATCTAACTTTAGTTGCTGATACTAAACAAATCTTCAAAAGATTGCAAAATGCAATGCATTTTTTTCTTCAATCATTTGGTAGTTATATTGCAAGAATGGCAAGATAGCAAACACAAGGATCACAAATCTGTGCCACCTTAAAATAGTCCCATTCCTGTTTATCCCTCTGTCTACCTCACATTTTATTTCTGAGAAAAGGCTGGTATTTAGCAAGATTTATTTAAAATTGCATAGTTTTAAATGCATAGTTAAACAATAGCTTTCTTTCTCCCAACCCTTAGTTAGTCACATTGTCCAATTATGAATCATTCTTTTGTTTTGAGAACTGTTCAGTTTTCTGTCAGACATCTGCATCAGTGGCCTTGGTGGGCTCTCCCGGTATATCTTTGGTGCATCTGCATTTACTCATGTTCCTTGAGCCTTCATTTCTGCCCTGGTTTTTGTGGATGTTTTCTATGAAACTTTCTCACCAACTGATAAGCTTTCATATCCTTGTCTTTCACCAATTCTGCTTCTAACA